TGGCTGGACGGCCGCCGTACAGCGAGCGCGCTCTATCATGCGTGCCGGCAGAAGTCATTGACCGGGTTGGGATTATATAACGGTGCTAAATACGTAAGCAACCGATTGTTCATGGGTGCGTGGCGTGCGTGCGTGGCATGTGCGTCGTGCCGGGCGTTGGCGTGCGTGTGCAATGCGTGTGTAGCGCAGGGCCGTGCTTTCATGCCGTGAAAAGTCACCTGGGTGTGCGCTCTGGCGCCTCAAAAGCGCGCTTGCCTGCTGGACCGTCTTTGTTCTACGTACCCCGCCCGTACCTTTGCCCGCCTGCCTGCCCGCCTATCCACCTAGCCCGCCTATCAATTACCTGCCAGCTCTGTTTACCGCTGCCTTATGATATTCTACTTACCGCGCGTAGCCCTGGCCCGCGCTGCCTGCCCGCTTCAATATTTCCCCGCCGGCGCGTGCGTGCGTGTCGACTACTGCCGCTGCGTTTCTGGGCGGCCGTTGCGTGTATTCATTACATTTCAAACTTAATATTAATGCGGCATCGTAATTAAACCGCCGGCCGCTTACGGTTGGCCTGGCGATGGCCTGCGTAAACCGATACTGTTTGCGCGAAACTACGTTGAGTGTTTTGTTAGCAGCGGAAATGCCGCCTATACGAAGAAGCGCGTTGATATTAAATTCGCCGTAAACGCCGGTGCCATACCCGGAAGGAGGACGTGGACCGTGATCTAGTGCAGATGGGAGGCGTAGTGCCGACGGGGTGCGGTAGGGGGGTGGGGAGACGGCGGAAAGGTGTTACACGGCGAGGAAAATAATATCCACGTAATAATAGGCGTGTGAAACAACAGATATGCTGGCAACGCGTGTGTTCGTGCGTGGCCGTAGGTGCGTGCGTGCGCGTTAGTTACTATACTATATGGCATGCCATAAAGAGTACTGGATCCTGATGATGACGAATCCAAGCCCTCCAGCCCCGGTTCCGCCCTCTATCGCTGCTCTCTATCTCGTTCTCACTCTGACTCGGTCTCTCTCTCTTACTTCTCTCCTCGTCCTCTCATCTCATCTGTCTCTCCATCGCTCTCTCCCTCTCTCCATCTTTTTTGCTCTTCTCTTCTCTCTCAGGCTCTCTCTAGCTTTCATCCTTGCTTCTCTCTCTACTAGCTCTCTCTAGCTCTCTCTCTCTCTAGCTCTTCTCATCTCTCATCCTCTCATCCCGTCTCTCTCCTCTCTCTCTCTCTGCTCTCTTACCTCATTTTCTTTATTCCTCACATTTTCTATCTCTCCGTTTATCTCCTCTCTCTCTCTCCTCCCGAGCCGCTCTCTCTCATACGTTGCTCTCTCTCATCTCTCGGCTCTCTGCCTCGCTCCTCGTCATCGATCCTCCGGTCCATTCTCTTCTCTCGTCGTCGCACGCTCTCGACTCTCTCATCCTCGCTCATCGTCTCGGGCCTCTCTGCTCAATCTCTCTCCTCTCTATCCCTTGCTCTCTCATCTTCGTCGTCCTCTCCGGATCCCGTCGCCTCTATCGTCTGCAGATCCTCGGGCGCATCCGTCACTCACGTCAATCTCTCTCTCTCTCTCTCATCTCGTCCTCGTCACCTCACTCGTCCTCCTCATGCTGCCTCTCTCGCTCTCTCCGCGTCAAGCGTCAGTCCTGCTCCCTCGTCTCGTCTGCCCGTCGGCTCTCATCTCTCGTCTGCCTCGTCATCTCTCTCTCGTCTCATCGGTCGGGTCTCCTCTCCTCTCTCTCGTCCTCTCGATCTTGCTCTCTCGTCTCTCCGTCTCTCTCTCTCCTCTCTCTCACGTCCCTCAGGATCGTCGATATGTCTCTTCTTCTCTCTCTCTCTCTCGTCATCATCCCTCAATCCTCCCCAGGTCTCGTCGTCGGCCCTCCGGCTCGTCTCGTCTCTCAGTTCGTCGCATAATCGTCGTCTCCTCCTTATGGTCTCAATCTCCGCTCTCTGCTGGGGAGAGAGCGGGCAGAGGGGGGAAGAAGGAGAGGGGGACAGAGGGTGAAAAAGGGGGAGAGATGGGTATAGAGGGAAAGGGGAGGAAAGGGACAGGGCGAAAAGGGGAGAGGGGAAGAATGGGAAAGGGGGAGGAAAGGGGGAGGAAAGGGGGAGGAAAGGGAGAGGGGGAGAGTGGTAGAGAGGGAAAGGGGGAGAAAAGGGATAAGGAGGAGAGACCGGAGCGAGGGAAAAGTAGGGGAGAGAATGGGGAGAGGAGATGGGGGTAGATAAGGGAGAGGGGAAAAGAGGGCCCGAGAAACCCTTAGGGTTAGGGTGAGGGTGAGGGGTAGGGTTAGGTTAGGGTTAGGGTTAGGGTTAGGGCTACGTTAGGCTTAGGGTTAGGTTAAGGTACGTGTTAGAAATAGGGTAATTATGATCGGTGTCTATTGTATGTCATTATGGTATCCGAAAGTAGACTCCGAAGACCTGAGAAAGAGAGATAGAGAGACAGATGGGCAAGAGGTGGGGTGAGAGCGGGCTATAGGAATATCTGGTGACGCCTATTTTTAGGTTGACACACGAGTTACCTATCCATCATGACGGAAACACGAGCTACTCGACAGCTTACTCGACGCTAGGGGCCTAGGCAAAGTGCCAGGCCAGGAAATGCCGATGCAGCAAATATCAGAAGAGTTTGTTTTCAAAGTTTTGTTTTCAAAAGCGGAATTTGTCGCAGTTGACGTGTTGACAAGCAAAAACTCGAGAAAAAAAGCAGAGAGGACAATATATCAAAAGCGAGCCAACGAAATATGGCGCACCTCCAAGAGCTACGTACCACGTTGTCTATGATATGCCCTTAAGCAAGGCCTATAAATAAACACATTTATTTATAGGCCTTGCCTTTAGGTATTGCATTGGGAAATCAGCCAATGAGCTCTGGGACAGGACAGGTCACGAATGAGATAATTTTTGAGTGTATGCATGCGCTGGATTTTTTTTTTAAAGGCTTAGAACTCTTTGCAATTGTTCATTTCAGAAACTAGAATTTTTGCTGAATCCGACAGTGTAAGCGGCTCGTCCGGGGTGCATTGCTGGGGCGGCCGGGTAATTTTCAAAGGAAGCCTACTTTATCGCATAAAAGCGCGCGCTCGCTCCCTCTCTCTCGTTCCCTCTCTCTCTCTCTCTCTCCCTCTCTTTCACTCACGCTTTCTCTCTTTCTCACTCCCTCTCTCTCTCTCTCTGCCGCTCTCTCGCTCCTCTCTCACGCCCGCACGCAGGCACACACACACACACGCTCTCTCTATCTATCTATCTCTCTAGCTATCCTCCTTTGACAACCGTTTCTAACACCTCCTTCTCTCCGCGCTTCAACTCTCTCTTTCTCTCTCTCGTGTCTCGCTCGCCACCTCTGACCTTCTCCCTCCTCCACGCCCGTTTCCTCCTAACCTTCACCTTTGACGACGACACACACTGCTGGCATGACTCCCCGCTGAGCAGTAATGTTCACTGTCCTTGTCAAGTCGGTCTGATCTCGAGGCGCTTCTTGTGCTGAAGTTTTGCCTGGTTACCAGTTTGCACGGGAACATGACATGATAGGCAGGTAAGGCCCCAAGATTCCAGCTAAAGACAAATTACTTGTAGTGGTGGCCAGCTATATATAGACACACACACACGCACGCACGCACGCACGCACGCACGCACGCACGCACGCACGCACGCACGAACCATGTATACCACACCAAACGCACGCACGCACGCCACACAAACCAACACACCAATTTCCACACATAGCACGCCGCACGACCCACACCGCGCACTGGCGCCGCTCGGCGCACGCGCAACCGCGCGACGCGCAACGGACCACACGAACACACACACACACCCACAACAACCCATGACACCACACACATACACACACACGTCGCCACACACACAACACACACACACACACCACTATATGACGACTAGCGTTTGTCTTAGTACACGC